TATCAAAATTGGCAACCATATCGTAGTAATCTAAATCATTATGGAGATGGGGGTGTTTCACGTTATCAAAAACGGAGAAGGTGATTTGTTCACCCCCAACCCTCAAAATCAGTTTACCACCATTAACATCAATAAGCGCATTGGCGGTGATGAGAAAAGGTCTACCCAAAATTAAAGGCACATCCACATCCTTATTAATATCAATAATAACAAAATCAACAGGATATGAGAATGACTCTACTACGACTATGAAGTCCTCTACAATACCCCTAGGATGCACAATAGATCTATACACTAACTGTATGCTCATCCTAGTGTTACTGGGTTCACCTAGGCCTAGCTTCTTAAACAATTTATATGGCATGACATTAATGCTAGCGCCTAAATCCTCCAAAGACTTTCCTACATGAAAGGTGCCTATCATGCAAGGGATATACAACTCCCTGGTAGTTTGTTCTGTAGGATGTCATAACACTCCTCGTTGAGCATCACTATGGATAGCTCCCCAAGCTTCCTCTTGTTGGTGGGGAGGTTCGAAAATGCCTCAACGAAAGGCATATTGATGTTCACCTGCTTCAACATTTCCATGAACTTGGAAAACTCAGTCTCTAGTCGGTCTTTGTGCAACCGAGTAGGGAAAGGCAGTTGAGGGACATACTCATTTACCACTGGTTGTAGCTTAGGGGCACGCACCTCAATCTCTTTTTCCCTCTCTTACTCGTTTGCTAGAAGTGTTGAAGCATGTCTCTTCTCCTCCTGTCTGGCCTGGACGAGTATGTCAGTAGTCACCTTCCCACTCCTAGTAGTGATGGTGCTCAAGTTAGCATCTGATTCTACATGATAGGTGATAGTATGACCAAGTAGAGTACCCGGAGCCCTCTATGCCATAGATTTAGCCACACTACCAAGATGGGTATATCCTCCAGAACAACCGGTGTGTTCCTCTGGCCAGCTTCAAGCACCAGGAATTTACTTGAGGCCTAATCGATGAACTACTCGATATTGTTGAATTTGAGAGCACTAGAACTGGCAAGAGAATCCACCAAATCCTGCAGTTCATCCATCGGATCATGCTATACTAGGGTAGCAAGAGCTGCGCCCGACTGCTAAAATGGCCTCTACTGTGGCTGAGAGAGAGCTTGCCTCTTTCTGGACTGATAAAGAGGCTGCTGGTAGAATTTCCCTTGCCTAGGCTGGTATTGCGGTCTCTGGAAGCTGGGTGGTCCCTTGGAAACTGGTGGCTTAGGATTACTACCACCCCAAGAGAAGTTAGGATGTTGGCGCCACCCCTCGTTATAGGTGTTGATGTAAGGGTCGAAGCGTCTTGCATTTCCGATGAAGTCCAGCTGCTTTTGGGGTGTAGTAGACTCTCTTATTTCCTGACAATCTTCTCCAGTGTGATGGGAGCTCTCTCACCACTGGCAATGCATTGCTGGTTGTTGCCATGTCCCAGAAATCATTCCATTACGATCAATAGCTAAAACCGGCTTAGAGACAACCTACACCAACTCAGATGACTGGGTGTCCACAACATGCACACCTCGATCTGGTGCTTGCCGCAATCTTTGTACAAACCCCCAATCATACCCCTGCTCAGCCATATCTTCAAAGAGCTGGTTCAACTGCGGTGACATCTTAGTCAACATGTTGCCGCCATAAACCGAGTCCATCAGCTGCTTATCTTTAGGAAACAGAGTCAGATCGAAGTTTTCAACCTTGAAGGCATCATTGAAACCATGATTGGGACACTTCAGGAAGAGACTGACATAACTCTCCCAAGCGTCCCGAATAGTTTCTTCCTCCTCCTAGGAAAAATGTGTAATATCCTTCTGCAGGTCTACTATTTTAGAAAGAGGATGATAGCGGGTCAAGAATTTGTTGGCCAGGTCGGTAAATGTAGTAATTGACCTCGGCGAGGCTGGTTGTCCAGCCACTATTTGGCCTATCCCTCCAGAGTAAATGGAAAGTAGTGCAACAAGATGGCATCTGGCGAGACCCCATTAATCTTGATCCCATCAGTCAGCTCGTGGAATCGGCGAAGGTACGCGCGGGGACACTCGCCTGTCTTCCCATGGAACACCACTGAACCGCGCAGCATGGTGATAACATAGGTGCTCACCTCAAAGTTGTTGGCAGCAACTTGAGGGTGTTGGATGTTGGACCTCATGTCTGTTGCTCTGGCGGTCTAGTAGTAGCCCACGGTATGCTCCTCGGGGACAACCACCTCGACAGCATTGGTCTCACCCCTTTCTTCTTCGCTCTCAGAACCGTCGGCGACAACGACCTTATCCAAGTCCTCCTCCGTAACCAACCTCTGTTTGAGCCCTCGGAGCTGGCAACAAGTTCGTTCGATTGCTGGGTCTAACGGATGAAGATCTCTCGACTGGCTGTGGGTCATGCACTACCTGCACAAAGACTACAGACACAACCCGTGAAGGCAAACAGGGGAAGGAGAACAAATGCAGAAAAGTAAATGCTAAAGTAATAGACATTCACGTTTCTACAATAACCTAGAGTCCCCGACAACGGCGCCAAAAACTTGACTAGCTACGGCACAACATCAAACTACGACCAAGTGTAATCGTAGAATGGAAATGTAGTATAGTGGGACAAGTAATAAATGTCAACCCGAGGCCTAGATGTACTGCCTACTCCGTAATTATCAATTATCTAGCGGAAAAGATTTAGAGTGAGTGAATTAAAAGTAAAGCAGAAAGAAAGCAATAAGTTGTTTGATTTTCTGAAGAAAGAGAAGAGTCACTCGGGAATGAGTCCCCCTAGATCCTTAGTTAGGTTCAAGTTGTAATTCTCTTTTCTTGTTTTACTATCGACTAGGTTGCGGAAGATCCGAAAATAGCTTGAAATTTATTAAACTGACCAAGCCCTCTTAGACAGAATACTCGGCAGGCGACTAGCCGTCACCGGGATAGACTGCTAAGGCGATTCACACAGATCCCCTCTACTTGGAACGAATTCTCGTACAAAGTAATGAAATTGACTGACTCTCATACAATCAACTCACTACTATCAACTGAAGAAGCTCTTATAACCTAATTAGATTTTATCTATCATAGGTTAAAGCAGAAGTCAAGAGAACTTGATCAGGATTCAAATGACTCAATAAACATGCCTCAATTGATTAAAATCATCCAGTATAACATCCAATAATCATTACAAGCAAGATCCCTAACACATGGAACTAGGTTTCTTCATATCCAAGTGAGAGAAATGTCTACCCCATATAGAGAGAGGAAAACATAAATCAAAGTAGTCATACTCATAAAGATGGGAATAATCTGCTCTGGGATGTCAATCTTCACTTCTCGGGATGCAATCTGGGCTTCAATGGTGAGAAATCCAATCAAAATAGCTCCTAGGGTTTGTTCTTCGTCCTTTCTCTCTCTCTCTCTCTAGAACTCTGTTTTTGCTCCAAAAAGTGGAATTCCCTCTCTTTGGCTCGAATCTGCCTGTTTAACTGGACACTAGACGAAACACAGTCGGGAACACGATCGTGTTGTGCCCGTGTCCGCCCACCCATGTTTTGATTAGGCCACGTGGGGAACACTAGACGAAACAACAGTCATTTCAAGCAAGATCCCTAACACAGTTGCACGTCGGAACACGGTCAAGTCCAAAGGTGAAACACGACCGTGTTCTTCAACAGACATGCCCGTGTTTTGCCTTCTTCAGCAGCCTCCTCGAACCAATCCTCGCTCTAAAAAGCACAACCAAGTTCCTTTGAGGACACAGGCGTGTTCTTGCCCGTGTTCTTCTCCTAAGACGAGAACATGCTCGCATAAGAAGCATGGGTGCGCCCCCGAACACTGTCGTGTCCTAGGCAGGGGAAGGCCATGTTTGCTCCAGCTTCGCCGAATGACCTTCAAATGGCCCGAAACTCGCGGCTAAGCCTTCTTTCAACAGATAGGACATGAAATGTGACAAAAGAGCACAACCTAGTGTAAACTAGGTCAAGGAAACACAAGAGAGTGAAGTTTCTTCACTAGTTGCACCCTCCTTACGGTGTATGAAATATAGCTAGGGGGAGCATTACCTAGGTGAAACTTTCTCGTATATATTCTAAAACAATTTACCTTCTTTCTTGCTTTAAATTGTAGTCCTTATTTTCACTCAAAATCGATTGCTAGATAACATTTTAAACTGTTGAAATCGGAGTACATAGACCGGCTTGGTTAACATTTTAAAATGCTTGCCCTATATTGCACCGTACTAGAATTATACTTGGACTGTAGTCGGAATTTGATTGTGGTAGTTGGAATGAGTCATTTAGAGAATACATATATGTCTTGGATCAGAATGTTGCAATGGAGGCATTTTTTTGGGAGAATAGGCATGTTTCTTTTTGTCAAACATGCACTGAAACTGAATACTAATTTATAAAAATAACTACAAGATATTTGGAAGCCAAATAAGAAAAAAAACAAGCACATTGGTCAACTTGATGTTGAACCATCGATAAGAGGATCTTGTTTGCCACGATATGGAAAACTATATTGTACCTAAATATCGTGAAATGAAACAAACCACACTGGAAAGATTGTCAAAATAAACATCTAAACTTCGTTCAAAATGACGCCATCCATAACCTGAGCCGAATCCTTCGCGTTGACCAACCATGACAAAAAAAAAAACAGTAGTGAAGGTAATTTTATAACATAATCCAGTGATCAATTAGCAATTTATCCGACTGACACGCGAATCGTGAAGCCTCCCCTAGTCCTGGAATCAGGTTCTGTTCTCTTTACGACTACTTCTTTACTGGAATGCGCCGGCGTTAGTTGGAGGCCGGGCAGAGACGAACTGAAGCCTATTATTCCCTTTCTGGCTTGTCATCAAATCAAACAGACCTCAATCTCCATCACAAACAGAAACAAACGCCAGCGCAGACACCTCCATTCTCCAAGCAATCTATAGCGTAATACAAAGAAAAGAAAGCATATTCACAATTCAATTGCTTCTCATCACACCAACCAACCAAACAAATGGGATCCAGATTTCGCAGTCTCAATCCCGTCTTCAGGTCATACCTTCATCGCAATACTCTTCGCCCTTCAGCCTCTACTACTTTTGTGAATCGCCCTTCCTCCGTTTGTTTACTCCCCGACCCTCCCCAGTCCAAAATCCCCATTCGCTGGCATTTGGGCCACTCTCACTCCGACGCTCACCACCACCACGTCGGTCATACTTCCGATGCCTCTGCCGCCGGCCAGGAGGGTGATAAAATATTCCGCCTCGGCTTGGCCGCTGATATTGGGTTGTCCCTCGGGAAGGCCTTTACTGGATACCTCACCGGGAGTACCGCTATCATTGCCGATGCCGCTCATTCTATCTCTGACGTGGTAATTCAGTTATGCATATGCATCCAATTTCTGGGTTCCATCGACTTGGGCTTTCTTTCTTTTACTTGGCTATCTGGTTTGGGTTTCCATTCTATTTTTTTTTTTTTTTTTTTTGTCTCTGCAGGTTCTTAGTGGAGTTGCCTTGTGGTCATTCAGGGCTGGGATGGCTCCTAGAGACAGAGAACATCCTTATGGTCACTTATAATCTGTACCTACACGCTACTCCATATTTTTACTTAGTTAGCATGTGGCTATTCATATTTTTCCATCTATCAGTGCCCGGAGTGTTCAATTGAGTTGCCACTTACCAGTTTCATAGAGTTGCTCTACCTCATTCACGTTCCTTACTTCCATTCCAGGACACGGTAAATTTGAAAGCCTTGGTGCACTTGGAATTTCTTCCATGCTTCTGGTCACTGCTGGTGGCATTGCTTGGCATGCTTTTGATGTACTTCATGTAGGATTTCTTTTCTCTTCTCCCTTTCGCATTCGTGGACTGCACGCACTGCCATGCAGAAAACTTGGGGCTATTTCTGTTTTCAAAATGAAACTGGGTTCTGACTTTGCAGGTTTTGGTGTCTGCTGCTCCTGTTGCGATAGACCATTCATCTACCATTGAAGGTCTGCATAACAATGCCCATGGCGGGCATCATCATGGGATTGACATGGAGCACCCATTCCTTGCATTGAGTATGGCGGCTGTGTCCATATCAGTTAAAGAAGGGTAATAATCATCTTGTTTGCTGAAGAATCATTTTCTTGCTACTGCTTAGGAATGCCCTTTATGCTTGACTTGGGGTGTGTTCTCGTAGAGTTCTAAATGCTTTTCTTCTCTATATCTAGTCACTCTCTATATTATGCTTTTGTTGGCTACAGGGGCTTTATGCCTTCTCATAATAATATTGAAAGGCTATTATACCAGGGTCTTAGGGATCGTTTGGATGGATCAATTCGAAAACGAGACAATGTGACCATTTGTCTCAATTTATGAGATGAGTCAATTTGAATTACCTGCCCCGCCTCAGCCAATTGAAATTTACTCAAAACGGTTCAATATGAAATTCCCTTTCCAATTTTTTTGCTGGCAAACGAGTCAATTTGATCCAGTTGTCTCAAAATGAGACAATTTGGGGTAAATTGATTCATTGCAGTTCTTCATTCAAACGACCCCTATACCAGGGTCTTAGTATCACATTGTTCCATATCTTTTCCTTGAAGTCGAGCTTCTAGACACCAAAGCTTGATTCAACTGGTAGGGTGCCACATGCATGTCATGTTTCCCCCTGCTCTAGTTCTTTTGTAATCAAGACAAGGTCTTACGTGATTCTCCCTGTCATTCTATTGTTAACTGATATTTAGTCTAATCTATACCAAACTTATGTTGGTGCCTACACAAATCATTTTCCTTGATTCTTCATTTCTTCTCTTTGCAAACCTACGACTCTTGATTGAGCTGGTATCTTTGAACTCCTTACCTGTTCTATACAGACTGTACTGGAGAACAAAAAGAATCGGGGAGAAATTAGGCAGTGGACTCATGAAAGCAAATGCATGGCATCATCGTGCAGATGCCATTTCCTCAGTTGTTGCTCTCATCGGGGTTGGTAAGTGTCCTAGACAGGTCTTCTGACCAACTAGGTGGTGTTTTTAAGCTAAACATTCTCACCATCCCCCATTATCAGCCTCTCCATTTGTGAAGTCCCTTTTCATAAAATTTTCAGGTCAATCAATAGCTTTTCTGTTTTTCATCAAGTTATCTTTAGAAATTTTTAAAATATTCTGCTGCACTGATTAATCTTGGTTACTGGTTCATTATAGACTGTAACATGTGTGTGTGCTTAACAGTTTCTCTTTTCTTCCCTCAAATTTCTTTGGGTTTATATTCTTTACCGTTTACCACTGTTGTTTTCTGGTATTTTGGGAATCATCTCGTTTTCCCAAATGAATTTCTAAAATTTGTTGTTAGGTGTACCCCTAAAAGTGAAAAAACTTACTTGAGAGGCTCATATCTATTTCTAAGTACAACCCCAAATACCTCCCGCCATTTTACATTATAGTTCTATAAAACATCCCCTGTTCAATTAACATAACATCAGAATCCTTTTCAGTGGTCATGAGTCATGCGAAAACAGGTACAATTGGACTGTACACTAGACTCAACATCACTCTTAATGGGGTTGGTTCTCCTACAATTTACCCAACATCAAATTTTCCTAATGATTGCAGGAGGAACCCTCCTTGGAATTAAGTTCCTGGACCCCGTTGCTGGTCTGTTTGTCTCAGGCATGATACTGAAAGCTGGATTACAGACTGGATATCAGAGGTACATTTGGCATTTGTTTACCCTAGAGAAACTATTGATCTTGTGAATTCTATATAGCCACGTCTAACTTTTGATAATCTGTCTTTTCTTATATAGTTTTTGTCCTCTTTCTATGTCTTCCGAACATTGACCTCATGCAGCTAGAAGATGAATATAGTTGTAATAAGTTATTCATAACTGAGTAGCTAGCTATGTGACTGCTGAAATTGGTGTCATGAAACGTGTCTCCCATAGCTGGTATCTGGGTACAATAAAATCTGACACAATTTTCATTACTCATCATAGCATCTTGGAACTGGTGGATGCTGCACTTCCTGCAGAACATTTGGAACACACAAGACGAACGATCCTACAAGTTCCAGGTGTTACAGTATGTCTCTTAATTTGTTGGACTTAGTTTGCCTATTCTGGTTTAGGGATGGTTTCGTTGGTTCCAAAACCTTAGAGTAGTTCAACCTGCAAGGAACTCATGTTCATAGATTCTGACTTCCCTGTTGCTGAATGGTTCTTATATCAAACTCTTTTGACACGGTCTATGTTCATTTGAATGCTTTAATTGGGTTAAAGATTTACTGATTCGATGAAGTGTATGCATGGTATTGGATATACTCATTCTGAAAATGAATGCGGTTATTAAAAATCACACTGGAGAGGGGAAATAGTACTGCCACACTGATACTCATGCTGAAAATAAATGCGGTTAGTGAAAATCACATAGGAGAGGGAAAATAGTACTACCCACACTATGGGAGAAGACTTTCATTGGAGTTGTATCCTTCCACTGTGAGTAGAACTGGTTTATCTATGGATCCAAACTGTAGATTCTGGCTATGGGGAGTCTCACATTGGCTAAAGAATAGGGTATTACTTTTGTGGTCTTTTACCTGCTGGGTATATTAAGTATAATCCTCGACTTCTTGCAGGGATGTCATCGATTGCGGGGAAGAAGGGCTGGTTCGTATCTGTTTTTAGATGTTCATATAGAGGTCAGTCTCGATTTTGACTTTTTGGATAGCCACTAATGTTGATGTGGAATTTTATTTCACGTTTGACTTAAATGGATGATTTCAGGAGGGAACTGTATTATACTTTTGGCTTGTAGGTTGATCCTTTTTGTAGTGTTAGTGCTGCTCACGGGATTGGTGAAAGTGTCCGCAAGGAAATCCACACCTCCCATCCTGAGATAGCTGAGGTTTTCATCCATATAGGTAATCAAGTCTCAATGGCCTCGTAATGTCCTGTTTTTTAGGTTTCTAGAATATTTAACTGCCTTAGTTCTTTCTCGAGGGAAAAAGATGCCTTATTTGCTACATGCTATAGTGCATAGTTGGAGCACTGAACATTTGTGCTGGGGTACAAGTCCCAGCTAGTAACACATCTGGGTTCCTTGTGCTGTTATGCAGTAAGCATCACATAACTTTGTTATCCATACTTCCTCTTCAGTCTTAACACTCAGACTATCTCCACAGACCCTGCTTTTCTGGAGTCGCCACCCAAAATGCAGAAAGGTCAAAGTACATATCTGGAGGACAAAGACGTTGAAGCTATCATAAACAGTATTTTGTTAACGAAGTTTAATGAGGTATATATCATCCGCCCAAGTAGCCTACATCTCCAGACTCCTGCTTTGTGATTGTCACTGTTTTATTTGCCTGGGAAAGAATTCAAGATTGGACTTTCTGGAATCGATCTCCTGTGTGTACTGTGTAACTGAACTCGCAAGTGACTGTTCCAGAACATGAAGGTTGAACGGGTGACACGTCATCTAATCAATGGCAAGATTTTGCTTGAGATTGAAGTTGATATGCCTGCGAATATCTTAATCAGGTACAGCAAATTAGGCATTGATAGTCTTCCATATGCGTTTGAGACACTGAGAATATAACTGTAATGCAATTGCAGGGATGCAAAGGTAGTAGCAGAAGAAGCAGAGAGAGAGATCTTAAAGGAAACCTCGGATGTCAGTCGAGTATCCATGCAGTTACGACTGGGTACCCCAATGCCCAAATTCACAACCGGGAAAGTGAATGCCATATATCGAGGGGCATAGAAATTTCATTCGCCACACATTATTACCACTTACCTTTTAACTGTGAAGCCCTGAAATCTTTATCCTGTTAACCCAAACTGTAGCTTGAATGCGCTGCAGCTTGGCCAATAAATTTGCATTTGAACTTGAGTAACAAGTACATGTGATGCTTGGAGTTGTACAGAACACTTTTTCGGAAGATAATAAATGTTTGAAGCAACGGTTCCTTCGAAGGCTCGAGTCAAAAGTTGCTCACTGTTTCAACCCAATGAATTGTTTTAGTCGTCATGATTAATACCAACAATCTAACCCAAATTACAACTGGTTATTGTTTTAGTCGTCTGGTTGTAGACAATAAACAGAGATAAAGGTTGTTTTAAGGTCAGTTGACATCAACAATCTAACCCAAATTATCCCATGAGAAATCATTACAAACTACTACTGGATATTCTTATTGAATCTACCGTTGTGGAAGAGCTTTGAAAAACACCGTAGACTAAGAAGAATCACAAAGTTCAGAGATCTCAAAACAAAGAATTAAGGTTGTCAACCTGCGGGTCGACCCACTTTGATCCTGACATGATGAGAAAAACGAGCCGCATGCACTCGCCGGGTCGACCGCTATAAGATATCAAGTTGGAGGTCAAATTGTGTCATTTTTTTCTTTGGTTTGCAAAATGTGCCTATTTCTGATTTTTCTTTTCACCTAACTCAATCTTTGGAATTCTAAATTAAACATTTGAATATTGATGTTATATAAGTGTGTGAATTTTCACTATATGTTGGATCTTAGTACGATATGTTATTTTGGTGTAACATTATATGTTATAACTTATATGTAAGATTAGATTTAATATAATTTTTCAGAATAAGTACAAAAGAATGACTTTCCATATTTTCAGGTCAAATCGAGCTAAAACAGTTGACCCATTAACCCTTGACCGGGAGCGGATCGTATCAGTAACTGATGGGTCAGTAACCCATCAGTAACGCATTCTCTGATCTCCACGTGTCAGTCCACTTTTTTATTTAAATTAAATGCGGAAGGGTAGTAAGGTAAAATGCACTTATCCCCTATTTATTGCTGACGCGCTGACTTTTGACCGACCACATCAGAACCTCCTTCTCTCTCATATATATTACGTTACCACGCAATACCATACATTACCATAGGGTATAGTGTGGTAATATCAATATATATTTTGTTACCACCCAATACCATATGGTATAGAGTCATAATATCAATATATATTATCTAAAAGGAAAAAAAAAACAGAAGGAGGGAGAGGGAAAAAAAACTCGTCTTCTATTTCATCTCATTTCCTCCGCAATCAAGAACACCAAACGCCAAAAAAGGGAGAAAGACCGAAATTGAGGCCAACGAGTTGATGAAGAGACAAAAAAACGCAATAAAAGAGGGTGGCTGCAAATTTTCTTCGTCGATTACTGGAGAGAAAAAAACAAAAAAAGAAGAGAATGAAGCAGATCTAGATATGAAGAAAGAGATTGGAGAGAAAAAAAAGGAACAGAGAAAGAGAAATGATAGATTGAGAGAGAAAAAGGAAGGGAGAAAGAGAAAAGAGAGTTGCAGAGAAATGATTCTCTCCTCTTTTGAAAAAGAGGCCATTAAAAGTGGTCTCCTTTTTTTGAAAAAGCGGCCATTAAACTTGGAATATAATAAAAATAAAAATTCATAAACGGACAAAAATGCTCTTCTAGACCCCGCATTCAGCCCAGCCGCATGATTGATCCACCCCTAGATCTACGGTCCTAAGGTGGTTACTCACCCTATCTCAAGCCCCCTTGACCCACTAGCTCGACCGGGTTCGAGTCAACCCACAGGTTGACAACATTGTAAAGAATAGAAAGAAGTCGAGACGGAATCAGATAATTGTTTTTTTTTTTTTGGTAAAGGTGATTAGGTGAAATCATTTATTAAATAAAAGGAAATAGAAAAAGAAAAAGTTATAGCCCAGGAGAGGGCTCAACAAGCAAACAGCAACCGAGATGAAGAAAAAAACAAATACAGAGCAGAAGGAACCCAAGACAGCAAAGCAGAAGGAACAGAAGGAATCAGATAATTGTAGTCTGAATTGTTTTAGTCGTCATGATTAACATATTCCGTAATCGTGATCATCACATCCACCTTGCCTACCTTAAAAGGTCAAAATTTTTTTGTTTTTCAAACAGAGAAGCAAGAGAGAAAAAGAGAACAAAAGGAATGAATGAAATTGAACTAGAGGCTCAGAAGTACCCATTGGTTCTATAATCACAGGAGAAGAATCTCCTCGTAAAATAGGTAGTTTTTTCTACATCACAGCCTCCATATCCATTTCATTCTTCATTTTAACAGAAAGACAAGTACAAACAAATCCAAAGATTCAACCAGCAACCAGACAACCTAGAAAGGAAGAGGAGAAGACAAGGATCTACCACAGGGCAACAATAAGCCTAAGAAGCACAAAGAAAGCCACAGACGATGAACTGCAGCAACATAGACTGGCCACCTTAGCCAAAAAATAAAAATAAAAACTACAAACTACTAATGGGCTAGCGAGTAGCGGCGGTGTATAGTTGCCCCCGATGATAATTTGTGAACAGCGATTGAGAAAATAGACGGCTCATCCAGCTATTTATACACAGACGGCATAGGTAGGGTTAGGGTTTCTTTCTTCCGTTCAACTCGCTCCCTCCTCTCGAATCTCGATGGTTGTTAAACCGGTCGTACGTCATCAAATTCAATCAGCATAGGTTACAAAATAGACTAGAATAAATTTAATATGTCTCGAATGACATGGAAATAAAATGATGTTACTTGGTGAATTTAAATAAAAAAATTTGATTTGTTTTTTTAGTTTGAGAGTGAAATATTGATATTATTTGTGGGATTCAAATATAAAAATTTAAAAGTTTATGTTATTTATTTTTTCAAGTATAAATTTTTAGATGTTAGGCGTCATATGTAGTATTTAAATATGATCATTATTTTATTTTTTAAATATTTTTTATTCTATTTACTGGCTAAATTACATGTTTGGTCACTCAATTTATCAATTTTTTCGTGTTAACTACCCAAAAAAATTCTTTCTTAATGGTCAGTAACTTTAAATATTGGTATATTCTAACCTCTCCTTTCTTTGTTGTCTAGTTATGTTCCATCGATCAAGACCAAAAAGTAAGAGCAAGAGCAAGAGCAAGAGTAAGAAACTGACGAGAAAGACCTTTCAATTCGTTCGAGCTACTTCGTTGCTCGACCCAACCACCACTCTAAGGTGGAGCTGGCCAAAGCCTTCGTGTACATGGACTCGACTATCGTGTTGGTTGAGGTAATGGTCTAAGCGCTCAATTCTGTTAAGTTCATCCTAGTTGGCAGTCAACTATAAACTTTGATCGTTAAATTGTTGACGTGTCAATTAACATCCACCCACATCACTCTTATGTGAAGCAACAACCACAAATGACTGGCCTCCACGTTCCCTTCCACCCTCTACCAAATCGTCGATTGACTCGCACGAAACTACACCACGAATTAATCCCTACTAGAGCCCAAGTTTTTAAACTCTAGCCGGGTGCAGTATAGAGCAAGTATTTAAATTGTCAACCCGGGCCGGTCCATGCACCCCTACTTCAATCGCTTAAGTTGTTATCTAGCAAAACGGTTTTGGGTTTTCAAACTAAGAAAACAACAAACTAAACAAGCAAGAAAGGAAAATTCTAACTAAGGGAGCTTCACCCAGGAGTTGCTTCCCCCTAACTAGCTACCAAGACTCGTTGGATTGGAACGATTTCCATGGGCAAGGTGACCGCGAACTGCAGAGGGATGCAAATATGGTCGTAGACCACAATCTCGATTGCTAAACCGAGGTAAACATTATAGGTCGTTTCACTCGACCCTCTCGGTTTAGGCAATCGGTGGTGACTTACTCCCTCACTCAACTCAAGGGTTGGACGGCTTGATCACGCTTAACCAATTTGCTTAATTCAACATTGAGGTTTGCCCTAGATTGACCTAGTTAGGCGACTTACAAAGCTAAAGGAAAACTAAGTTAAAGTGGCTAATTAGATTTAAAAGTACCAACATGTACAAACCTAAGGATGCTAAGCACAATTATGCACAATCCTTAGGTTGCTAAGCACCAAAATGCACAAACCTAAGGATGCTAAGCACAAAACATGCACAACCCTTAGATTGCTAAGAACAAGCATGCACAATCAACATGAATAATACCTCAATCATTGAATTAAACAATACCCAATGATAATCATTCAATCTAAACAAGTAATTACAAAGTATTAGTTAGGGATCTACAACACCCAAGAGAAAAAAGTGAGTTTCTAGAGAGAGAGGGATTACAAATTTGAGCTCAAAATCTTCTTCTTCTTCTAGGCTTGAATCTCCACCCAAGCCTCCAATAATGCTCCAAGATCACTCTAGCACTCTCTTTATCTCTCACTAGAATTCCCCTTTGGTGTTTTTGGGCAAACCTTAGAGAGAGAAACCAATTCTTCTCCAAAAACCAGCTCCCCCTCTCTCTCCCCGCTGATGTCTTCATATTTTCCCGAAAGCGATCAGTTCACAGATGCATTGGCCAGTTCACGGCCATGAACACTTAAACGCGTTCGTGAACTCAGTCGTCTCCAAAACGCACCGTCTTGCTTACTGGGTTCACGGTCAATGACCACATTTCACGGTCTTAGAGACCGTGAACCGCCTTGTCGTCAGTAACTTCAGGAACCTCGCGGGATGCCTCGGTGTTCACGATTTGTGGTCGAAATTCACGGTCTTAGGAGACCGTGAACTGCCTCGTCCGGCCGTGAACTGCGGCTGTTTCCTAGGATGCCTTCACCTCACTGTTACGAGGCAATTGTCACGGACTTCAGATTTTTCTTTGGTTTTTGCACATTTTGACCTCCAATTATCCCAAAATTCGACCTCGACCCTTTCACACGTGCTAGGACCTGAAATGTATCAAAACAAACACAACCTAGCGTGAAATATGTTGAGGAACGATGAAATATGA